AAAATTTTAACCATAGCCATGTTATGTCAGATTTTGCACAGAATTTTAAGTGTATACATATCATGGTATGGAAAACGATTTCTCCAGGTTTACCAACACTTCCGACTGAACATGCTGAATGACAAATATCCCATAAATCTCATACATACATTTATGTAAACAATAGTGTGTCCCCTGGGGCAATAGAGTGACAGATTCTGGTTACAAACGTCAATAATTCCTTCTTGACTTAGGTTAAACTTTCCAACACATGCTGAAATGTGTCAGTTTGTTGAGAATTTGTTGACAGAAACAAACAATATCTATTGAGCGAGTACATGGTTTAACCATGAAAACAGTGTTTCCAAATCAAGCATGAAATTCAAGAGGTCGTTGCTGTAACCCTAATGTTGAGAATGAAAGAATTACGAGGTTTATAGATTCATAAACCTCAAACAACAGGCCTGCTTACTCATGTTAATTTTAAAAAATGTTAGGGTAAAGAGTTCTTATGTCAACATAAATATTTTACACCAGTTTACATTGCTATCAAATTATAAAGCAAATCTCTTTGAAAACTTTCAACAAACAGGTCTGCGTCAACATAAAACGAAAAAACAACTTGATGGAGGTGCCTTGAATGATTCAATAATCTTTGATAAATTATGTATCCCACGGTTTGGTTTAGGGGTAAATATTTACTTCATGAATGGAAAGGCTGATATATTGCCCATGTGAGAAGATACCAATGTAGCAACTCCAAAGGAACATTTTGATAACATTCCTCAGACACATCTGCACTTAATTCACATTGATGAAAGATGCCATTCAATATTGACATATACAAGTTTCCATTACTTTTTCATAGAAATATGTTTATTTAGAAAGAACGGTTGATTGCATTTTTGGGGGTGGCGTGGGGGTGGGCGGTGGTGTTGGCTAAAAATTCTCAGCCTAACTATGATATACTGTTGATAGAGTTGGATGCTAATTACTTTTCAAGACAATCCCCACCCAGGTGTGAGGCGTGGGGATTTTAGGGGCAGGTGGTTCATTAAAAACAGGAAATGTATATATCATGTTTATAAGTCTAATTTCAGAATTATTTTGTTGAAACAGAAGTTTTTTCACTTAATAAACAATTCTGCAACATTATTTAGATATGTGTACACATATATTTTTTCTATCACTAGTATCAGTATACGATCATTGGACCCATACCACATTATTATGAAGTATTGCTCAGTTAATGCTTTTACGGGGGTCAGTGACAACAAACATGAACACGAAGAACCACTGTTTCATCAGGGAAAAACAGTGATATAGCTTGTAAGTACTGAAAGTATGAAGCATCTATTTTGACACTAAACAGTTTCCTGCCACCATGTGTAGAACGTTGTGTTTACAGGAAGCAGGGGAGGCAGCTCAACTCCATATGTTTAGAGTTGGCAGATTCCCTCATGTTAATAGTACCACCATGACCAGAAACCTTGTCAGTGTTACTGTTGACATTTTTCTCATAATAAACATCATTAACACAGACTCTCAGTCAAGATAAGAAAGTGAACTTAAAAGGACATCATCGATCCCTGCATTTGGGATACGATGGCAAGCAATCAATCAGCAATTGAACCTGACCAAATGATCCATTTATTTGCCTCTGATGACAAGCACAGGTTGCTGGGGAGTGGGGACCAATATTCTTACTCAGAATCCCAGCGTGGCCATTTATGTTTTAAAGCTGTATTTCTTTTCTAAAAGTAATATTTACAAGGTTATGCAAAAGGGGTGTCACAGGCTGATAACTACATAGGATAGCGATAAAACACCGCCTATCATGAAACCAAATACTAATTCTGATTGCATAATCCTATAAGAACAAGTCTAAGTTAAGTCATTCCAGTAAAACACTGGTTTATAGCCTGGAATCTGATAACATGGAACCCGGAGAGGTTCACATCAATGTATAGTGTATAGTGACTCAAATATAGCAATATCCAGGGATGAGAATGGATATTTTCCTTTTCAGCTGAAACTTCCTTTACAATGGAGGTTGGTTCATAATTTGGGGGTGTTTATGGGGATCATCAGAATGTAACAAATTTGTGGTCACTAAAATGTGTGGATCCACGGAAAATTCTCATCCCTGAATATCATGATTTATGTAGATCTTCTCAGAAGCCAATAATCCCCAAGTCTGCAGCAAGAACAAAAGATTTCCAAATTAAGTTCCAATTTCATGTGTATACTTATACTGTATAGTTAATATTAGTTATACAGTCTGTGCCAAAAGCATTTTAGTCTACTAGCCAGAACTTGGCTGTAAGTATAAGCATCATTTTCAGTAGACTTTGATGTTGATATTAGACTATTACCAGCTAAGCTCACTAGACTGAATAGAACTTTACTATGCATCTGTTTGGTCTAGTAGCTAACATTGCAGACTGGTTATAGCTAAAGTGACAGCTTTGTAGAGGTGACTTGTATTTCACTGAGAAAGAGGCTTTAATTTAATGTTAAGTTTTATATTATTACACTGAATGTAATGTTAGTATACAATGCTAAAAGATCTCCCGACGAACTGGTATTGAACAAAATAACATACATTATTTCCTACTATGTTTGCCAGGATCACAGAATTTCGAATCCTAAATATATCCCTGAATATGTATTGATAAGTTTGCTTGTTGTTTGTTTGTTGTTTAATGCCACACTAAGCAATATTCCAGCTATATGACCGCAGTTTGTAAATAATCGAGTTTGGACCAGACAATACGGTAATTGGTATCACCCTATGCAATTGGGATATGATGACATGCATCAACCAAGTTAGCAAGCCTGACCACCCAATCCTGTAAGTCGCTCTTACGCCTTTACATACCAGGTAGTCACCTTTTACAGCAACCATGGGATGCTGAAGACCTATTCTAACCCGGGCGTTCACGAGTCTATCGGTAAGTGAGGAAGGTGTATGACGACCCACCTGGTCACTATCAGTATGATCAGCCAATGACACAATACCTGTTAACATGGTTAGCACTGGGTTTATAATGTCGATGACAAGGGTTGTTTTCAACCCCTGCATTCACATCCATTAAACAACTCATGTCTGATCCAGATTCTTCCCTGATTGTGTACAACAATATGTCAGCATCAGTAATGAGTTTACCGGTAGGTAGACAAGATGATTTGTGCTTGAGTGACCATGCCTCTAGGCAAGTGGTCAGCAAAGGTCAGTACAGAAGATGAAACAATTGTTGTAAAAATTGACACACACTGTTTTCAAGACTGTGTTTTCCATGATAGACTGTAAGGGCTGTTCTGATGTCAATTTGATTGAATTTCATCAAGCATTGTCATTTAAATCAAGAGAATTTGATAGTTTTTTAATATCTACTGATATATTTGATCATTCTTGGGACAGGTAGCTTGTCAACTGGTCAGACATTTGAAGATTCTACACTGCACATTTTAAAAGAACACCCACAATGTCCTGTATTTTACAGTATTTGACAGATCCTCGGCATATTTCACAAGGCAGTTTTAGAGCTATGATTGTCAGAATGCTAGTATATGACATGTTTAACATAACGTTTACGATAGTCATAATGCTGCAGCCACTTTGTGGAACCAGTCACAGGTGAATAAAATGAAGGTCAATACATCATCAGTCCAAGAACCTACAGCTCCATCATGACCTAATTGTCTGCACAGCTTAGCAGTATATGTCAAGGGACTGCATCTGTGCTATCCATTACCAATGATATACATCTCTGTATGAGTAGGCACTATCATCGTAAATGGTATTTCGACCATAATGCACCATAGTGGACTGATCAGTGAACGTGGTACATTGTAATATATAGAAATGACTTACAGCCCACAGCAAAATTACTATATTCTCTCAGACATATTACAACGGTGATTGATACCTAACTTTTAGCATATGTTTAGCATATATTTGATAAGACCCTCATCAAATCATGTTTGGACAATATATCACGAAACCTGGTTTTAACAGCTTTCAGAGATAAACATTTTGGCAATCACTGCAATCAAAGGTAAATCACACTAATTAGTATATTGGGTAAGGTAATCTCCAATCAACTGTCCTGCTCCCTGCATACTGCCCTCTGGTCACTGTACACCATAGTTAAATAGGATAGGCTGAAGACCGTAATTAAGAAAGCAATTGGGTTTAAATGTCTGGAAATTGGTGAGTGGACTTAAAACATTCTTACCCCCATTTTACAGTATATGTTATAACTTGATCAGGGTTTGACATAGAGATGAACCCATTAGTTCCATGGAAACCTGCTTCAGTCAATTAAAGTGTCTAACAGTCTTATGTGATTACATGAATTGCTACTGGTAATATATGAGTACAGAGAATGTTCTTTAACAAAAAGGGGCGGTGGGGTAGCCTAGTGGTTAAAGCATTCACTCGTCATGCAGAAGACCCGGGTTTGATTCCCCACATGGGTACAATGTGTGAAGCCCATTTCTGGTGTCCCCCTCTATGATATTGTTGAAATAGTGCTAAAAGCGGTGTAAAACCATACTCACTCACTCACTCACTCTTTAATGAAATCAAACTTATCATATTCTTAAAACATAATGGAATATCTGGAAGGAGAGAGTGACAGTAAGTGTAGAATTGTCACATTTCATATGAACATGATATTGCAGAGTAGACATAACAACACACCTTCTCTGGAATAAAGGTCTCATTCAGTAAATGTATCCAGGGATAGACATGTATCGCTGGTAACAGATTAGGACCGACGACATACTGTCTGATTAAAAAAACAGTTCAAATGAAGGCTGCTGAAAAGCCTGTCGAATAAACAATGAAAACTTGACCTACCATTGCGACACATATTCCGTCATCAAATCTACACACGATCAGTATACGTCAAACTTTGAATATCATAGCAATTTGACTGAACTGAATTAAGGTCAACATTTATGAAAATAGCCTGTAAGTGATATAAATACAGTGACAGTGCAGACTCACGTACCTTTGAATACCAAATTGTCAGAGTATCATCCGAGAGAACGGCAAAAAACATCCGATCACAACTACTGACAATGAATTCGATTGGAGAGGAATCATTTCGTGAATTCCTAAGATATTTTGGCCATCCAATTGGGAAATACATGTTTGTTGTGATAAAATTTGGACAACTTGTCCTGCCACAAGTACATGTCAAGAGGCCATATTGCAAACAGAGTTATTGTTAGAAAGAGTATTTGTAATTGGATGTAGCTTAAAATACATATCCAATCAGAACTCTTGTAACATACATTCATCGGTGTCCACCATACGGGATTCCCTTCCGGTAGAGGCTACAATGGGAAAGATAGCACTCATTTTCGAATACATAGAGAACGTTTGTTGCTTTATAACGAGTGTATAATCACAATTTATTTCCTATCCATATCCTAAATATGTTGTGAAAAGCAAATCGTTGATTGAATTTTGAAGTTATTTTGAATGTATTAAATGTAAACATAAACATTTGGAGTATTTGATTAATAGACCCCCTTCGAGTCTCCAACGAAAGCATCCAGTCACCAAGCAACTATCGCATCAGAAGCAGGTGCGCTTGATGCATTTGGAACCGAACAAGGGCCTACCATTTCCAAAGGTAATTTATTTAAGTTAAGCACAGGCGTAATTAAAAATCTTTTTTCACTGATCATATTTACATATTCTGTCGAATTTATGGCTTGTCACTTAGTGATGAAATAACACTAACGCTACTTTCTTCCACGTGCTGCACGAGGGAGGTCAACAGTTGACGATAATGAATTGTTGGCCTAGTAAGAATCAGCTGTAATCTTTATTGACATGTAACATTTATTTCTTTAAAAAACAAAACAGAAAAACGCGCATTTCTTTTAACTCAAGATTTAAAATGAAATTCTTTTTTTAAGAGTTTGTACTAATCATTTCTAATGACCAAACAGAATATCAACAACGACCTAACAGGTTTGCACAGAACGTTAATTGGGCCAACCGTAAGTGCACTAGTGGTTAACATTAACATTGGTAACAGCCTAATCTTAGATTAGTCATTCATAATTCATGACATGTGATTAGAATGTCAGTGACCGTGTAACTTTATCTACACAGCATAAGTCGCATCATCAGGGTTAGACACAGTCAATTGTCTGCTCGTCCCAAACTAGTGAAAATAGCTATAGGACTGCCAGTATAATCTCCAAAAATCTAGTTATGACACATGAAACCACTATTCTAAAGTGCTGAGGACTAGTTGGATTTAACTCTATACCTGGCATGTTACATGTTAAAAAAAATATCATAGGAGAAATAAAACTTGTCAGATGATATTTTTTGTTACTGATGTTTTTTAATAGATCTAGATGTTCCATTTATATCTTTAGCAGATAAGATTGTAATTTTGGTACATTTTTATCATACACTTTACGAATGATTGCATATTATTTATCATAGCCATATCATCAAGTTACCAACAAGATCAGTGCCACAGAAAAATCTCTGGCCTTAAAGAAAACTTACAAGACAACTGTAAAAAGTTAGTTGAACCACCTCGATTTTAATATTACTGGTCCTAATTCATGTTTATATTTATTTGTCTGGTGGAATTTGTTGAACCCAGCGTATGGGTGTGGGGAATAAAGTCGTATTTGGTAGAATTTAGTTGTCCGTGACATAGTTGACAAGTTCAAAATTCTCTAGAAACAAAGATGAAAGATGTACACACTTAATCAGATGACATCTCATTATTGTTTGAAATTAAGAATGAAAGCGAAAAGATTTTGTCATAAATCCCTTCATGTATAAATCAATGTTTTAGGGAGACCTTATAGGTAGATTCAAGTGATAATTACTATATAAATAGTACACTACACTTTCCACTGGATAAGAGAAATTGTATTTGCTGTTGTCATATCCCTGTTGCTATCCTGCACATGCCTAGTGGTTGAAGCTTTTTCTAGTCACACTATTACTAGGTAATTTACAAATTGAAGCGCAAAGGTTCACCCAGGACTCGGTACATGTATACAGAACTCGGGGATTTATCTAGGATTCCAAACTAAGTACCATTGGCTAGAAAGTTGGGAAAAGTCATTGTTTTGTTCAAAATTGAGATTTTTAAAACTTATTATTATTAAATTCATGGATATTTTAACATTGAATTTAATATTGCAATCAATGCAATGATGTTAAACAAAGCAATAACACCTCTTCCTCTATAAAATAATTGGTCCTGTTAGTTAAATACAAGTCACCTCTACAAAGCTACCATTAGTTAGGATTATAGCAGATGTATTGAGAAATGTTCATTTTTAATTTGGTATTTTTACTGACATTTGCTGCAGACTTGGGGCCAAATATCAGACTCAAGCCAAGTTTGGATTAATCCCTGGAACAAAATTCTGAATCAGTAAATAACCACAAAAGATCAATGAATAATCAATCATTAATATTCAAACACACAGGTTTACAATATAACAGGTCAAATATGTGGCACTATAATTAATGATAGTGCAATCATGATTGTCCAGAATATTGTCACTGTCTGTATATATTGGCAGCCATTCGGTACACCTTGACATGCAGTTATCAATACACTGTTGAACACACCGATTAAACTCAGAATGTTAACAAATTACTGCGCCATCTGGCGTTCTTTATTGACAACGTCCTTCAGCAGTTTAGTGTCCTTTCGTGCACACTGACATTCTTTAGTACACATTGTTCTTTCTTTTCATGTGACGTCTTTTCGTAACATTTGACTATTATATTGCATACTTTTTTGAACGAATGGCCGCCCATATATATATTCTCAGATCAGCGTGACCTGCAACTAAAATGATCCAAGACAAGAAAAAGATACAGAAAGTTCCTCTCCCATTTTGTAAGGAGGAGACAGGAAAAAAAAGCATTTCAATTCTTTATAATTTTTTCTGCCCCACTACTGGTCGAGTGGTATAAAAAAAATAATGGTTTAATGTGGGAGGAAAACCTGCAACACAGCTGTTGCTGTCAGCAGTGCAAACCCGATGATTCGAGCGGGAATACTGTTGTGCATCTATGCATCCTATCAATGTTTCAGGAAAAATAACAAACATTATTTTCATGTTAAGAATATGTCAACTTGAATGGGTCCTTGTTTAGAAAATGTTTCTTGGGTGCAAAATGTTATCAGCTTTTCGGCAGGACAAAAGAAGCGAAAATTCTGATTTATGTTTAAAATTTTCAACAAAATTTACAGTCGGTGGATCAAGAAGCTATGATTGTGGGGTTGAATGGTGGGTGACTGTGATATCATGTCTACTGGCATGTCAGCACCATACCTATGTTTTCACCAAAGTAGTATTTGCTCGTCACACCGAAGACCCAGGTTGGATTCCCAATATGGGTGCAATGTGTGAAGGCCATATCTGGTGTCTCCCTCCATGATATTGCTGGATATTGCAGTGATATTACTCACTCATTCACTCACTCACTCACTCACTCACTCACTCACTCACTCACTCAACATCTAAACGTGCATCATGGTGTTTTGGTAACCTAGCTCTACATTGAAAACTCAGTTTGCTTATCTCCATTCTACCATGACTAAATAAGAAGCAAACTCTTCGGTGTTGGCAAATATATTAAGTGAAGCGGCATGGGTTGAGTCCATTGTTTTGAGTGGTTTGTTGATCAGAATTTATGGAATCACCTACAAGAGCCTCTAAACAAAATATGGATATGTGTATACACCACAGTTGGTTTACACCATAATACTTCAGGGGGCACTGCTGGCCTAGTCGTCTAAGGCGCTGTGATTCGCTGTGCACAGTTGCGTCCCATAGCATGCCAGAAACCTATGATTGTGGGTTCAAATCCCATTTCATCCCGATTATGTTTCTAGGTTTGTCAGCACAATAACCATGCCCGTTGGTTTCACCGAAGTGGTAAACATCTGAGACCTGCATCATTTCAGGCTTTCCTCCCACATTAAGCTGTCATGCCGCGATATAACTGGAATAATGTTAAAATCAGCGTTAAACCCATCTCACTCACTCACTCACTCACTCACTCATAATACTTCACTTGAACATATGGCAGGCACTGAAAGCATGTAGTACCACAACTTTGTAAGCTAACATGAGGTGGGCACCCCTAAAGAGAAACTAAGCAAGCCTTCAATACCGCACGCTACTCTTATGACATCATATCGTTCATTGTGAAGCAAAAGATATGACATCACAGTCGTATATATAGAAAGCGCACCATATAGCGCTCTGTTGTCCTCAAAACTTGAAATACATTCTCCTTGTAGATTTCTGTTGTGTTTTGTGTATTTCCACACATCCCTTGAATATTGCAGTAGCTGCAACTTTGCATTTTGTAGCCTATATATATATATACATATATATTATTGTACATATATTTATTTAAATACAGTGATCGCTCGCTATTGCGCTCTTCGATAAAGCGCTACTTCGGTTATTACGCGCGGTAACGCATGGCTCCCAAAATTTATGTACACTTTTAATACTGAGAGTTTTACACAGACATGATTGTATTGTTGTTCGTTGTTTATTTGCACATAACGCTTCTCATTGCATAATCAACGGTTTATCGCTGAATGGAGTTCTAATAATCTGTTTGAAAATATCCGCGGCAAGTCCCGGAAATACGATTGTTCAACTAGTTAACTTTTCACACTATACATCCTTTGATCTTAGAAGCGCATGCATGCAATAAAAGAGAACCACAAGTGAAGTTTATATTCTTAATTAGTGGGCAATCCAATTTAAGGCTGAACTGTCACACACATGTAGTTGCTGTCACAACACGGCGGTCATTCATTTCGTAATCGCGCTTTCGTAACATCGCCTGTTTTTTCCCCGTAGTTATAACAAGCGATTTCATTGGATTAAAATTTGTTTCTAATGACGCTTTCTTGCCGAAATCTGCTACAAGTTTCGTGATTGGTCAATTTTGAGCATGTGACCTCAGGCAGCCAATCAAGCTTTGATACAAAGCTCGTGTTTGATAAATTTCAGAAGTTAGCGAAAGATTTTTTGTTAAATCGTGTTATTCTGAACGTTTTAAGCAGGAAATCACGATATATATTAAAAATATGGAACTTCGCGAATGTATCGTGCTAGGTTACGAGCTGTGACAAAGATTTTTCATGCATATATTTTTGCATTAAACGTTGTGTCCGAGCCGAGAATTCAAGGCGACGAAAGCCGAGATGTCATTTGACTTACATTACACGCGATCGCACGAAACAATGGAAATAATAACTTAGATGTAAGTTTGATTACTTTTAGATATATTTTTGTTGATTTTATTTATCACTTTGTATAATATATTTAAAGATTTGCTTAAAATAGTCTTTATTTTGCTCTTTGACATGTTCGATGCGGACCCGTTGTAGAAATGTGTGTCCGAGAATTTTATTTTCAATAACATCGCGGGAAATAGTGAATATTTTTTTCATTTATCGATAAAAAATGATAAATTAGAATGGAATACGTATTTCAGACATTGTGAAATATGACAGATTTAATAAATGAATGATATTACAGGTAGATCTAGGTCCATAAAAATATATACTATTTTGACGTGACGTGAGATAAACACATAGGCCTATTGATGATTTGAGATTTGCCGAGCGCGCTCCCCCGCCTCGGCCTCGGTTAAACGGCTCATCGTCTATAACGCCCACCAATTATTTGGACCCCATTGGTAGCGCAATAGCGAGCGATCACTGTATGCCTACCGACAAAGACTGTACTATTCTAAAAATGTTAGTTTCCGCAGTGATGCAGCCGTCAAGTCGGCTGTTTCAATCAGAGGGGGTTTATTGTGATTTGATACCTCTGATTAACCAATCAGAATCAGATATTTCTCTAATTCATGGTTGAATTCAGGCTTCTTCCCCCATCAAGATGCCACACGGTGATATAGCTGAAATACTGATCAAAACAGTGTTAAACTCAACTCACTCACTCTGATATGTTTTTGTCTTTGCCTTTTTAGGACAAGTTAAAGAGTTACTAATACCCTTAACTATATATAACCTAGGTCATACCTAGTTTTTGAAATTAGTTATCAGATTCATCAAAAGAAGAAAGGGTACTCAAACATGTAATTTCATACCGTATTTGTTAAAATGTTTGGCTGGTGGATTTGTAAACAAAGTAAATAAAATTATAAATAAAATATGATACTGAACAGACAAGATTCTAAAATAAAGCCTATGTTGGAATTATAATACTAAACAGAAGACATTAGAGGTTGGAATGATGGCTAGTCCATGTAAATTTCTACTAGCCACAGGCTAGTGGGCAGGCAGTTATCACTGTCACTGGATATACCTGTTGAACTCTAAGACTATGAATGCGATTGATGCCATCAATTGTCAAATGCTGAGCCAATGTCACTTTAATCCATCAGAGTGAAATGTATTAGGGCCCATTGTAGTCAGACCATAGTAACGTCCATATCAGCAATAGACACCACTTGTGGAGCTCCTAGCACTGATCTTGTGAAGCTATTGCTGTACTTCAAGCCTGATCCATGTTGATTGACATGTGACATGTCTGATCTCCCTCAAGTTGCACAAGTCTTATTGCCTTCCCTCCAGTCTGCTTTCATGTGTTTCAGATTGTTAGATTTGTAGTGCTGGAGGGTTGTTGCTTTAGAACAGGGCAGGTATTTTAGTGGTATGCTTTGGCTGTTTCATGTATTTTGATTTATTTTGTTTCTTTGAAGCAGAATTTGGTGTTTGGGATGGATGTTCAGAGCAAGAAATATCATTAACATGAGAGGCTTAGAATCAAGGAAAATGTTTGGTTCTTGAAAAATGAAATGAAATTCTTGCTATTGATTGTGGTTTTTGTCATATATTTTGATTTTTCAGAGAAACATGGTAATGTTATCTGTTAATTTATCTGTGTTAGTTTGTACTGAGAGTGGAAGGAACTTTATAATGCTTTATTGATTTTGGAATGGGTTTTGTTCCCAGTTGCTTCCACCTATCGTGATGAAGTTATCGATCAGGTTCATATTTCATGTCAAATGTTTTTATTCTGTTTTCCAGAACTAGTTGAGCATGATGTCCGACCGTGACATTGCGAGGGACAAGGCAGCCAGGTTGCTGAAGAAGCAGGGAAGTCTGTCATCACTGGCCAGCAGCGAGGCCACACGCCAACATGGAGCGTACAAAGTGGGGTCAGTAGGATTCATGTCAGGCCATGTTATCAATATTTCAGGGATTAAAAAATGTAAAAACTGTTTTTTTTTGCAAATATTGGCCAATATTAAATACCGTATTCGACGTAATAAGCGCTCCGCTCTAATAAGCGCCCACAGCGTCATTTGCTAATATATTGGCGAGTGAACAATCCCAATTAACACCCCTTCCGATTGATCAATGTATACAAGACTTATTTATTCGCGTACAAGACACACTCGTGTGTTATATGCACCCTTAATGGGCAATTAAATTCTCGAAAAATATATCTGTCGTACAAAAACACCTCAGGCTGTCAGCATAAACCACCAAATTTAAGTGTCAACTCTGTTTTTTTTCACCAAAATAATATTCTAATAAGAGCCCCCTATTTCTAATTTTGAGAGCGCCCTGGGCGCCTATTACGTCGAATACGGTATGTGGGGTAAAAATGTAAATACCCATTGTTTGTTTGTTGGTTGTCGCACTCAGCAATATTCCAGCTATATGACTTCAGTCTGTAAATAATAGAGTCTGGACCAGACAATCCAGTGATTGACATCATGAGCATTGATCCACGCAATTGGGATACGATGACATGCATCAACCAAGCCAGTGAGCCTGACCACCCAATCCCCGTTAGTCGACTCTTACGACAAGCATAGTCGCCTATTATGGCAAGCATGGGTTGCTGAAGGCCTATTCTACTCAGGATCTTCACAGGTAAAAAAATACCCATATGTGAAATGTAGGAGGTGTTGCCTTCTGTGGTTTTCACACATTCATATTCCCCTTCTGGAGCTGGGATTGGTCCCCAACACACTACTGCTTGTTGTAAATGGCAACTGTGATTTGGACATCATACCCCTGGTGTCTCCACAATAGGGATGTGTTCATGATATCCACCACTGGTTAGGCTGGCCCAGGCTCAATTACTTAGGTCAACGTTTATAGCTAGAACATTGCTGGCCGACAACAACAAACAAACAATCTTCTCATCTTCACACCATCCTGTGAGACTCGGGTCAGAATTTATTTCCAGAAGAGCCTGCTACAATAGAGATTTGATGTCATCATACTTTATTGTGTGGATCGTTGCTCATGATTTCAGTCACTGGTTGCTCTAGTCCAAGCTCAATTATTTACAGGCAACCAGGATATTGCTGGAATATTGATGACAAACACACTAAGCAACATCTTAAACTTCATTTTGGATACTGGTAGATAGGTTCATTACTTTAACACTGGGAGGTTTTGCAATCTTGGTGGTCAAAAAACAAACTGTAAAATAAACTGTCTTCAAACAAACATGTTTCACTGTGGTCACACTTTCTGAGTTTCCTGAATTCATGCCCTGTCTACTGCACTCCCAAGGCACATGATGGTTGTGCTCAAAGCCCCCTTTAAGGAAAATTGCTGTTTTCACCATTCATTTATACTCCTTCCAGGTTGGCATAATTAAGTCTCCGTAGAATGCCACCCTATTTACTTAGTACACAGAGGCATGACTTCCCCATACAATCAGCCCTGTGTATACAGTGGTGTCAGGAGAGTTTTCACTCTAGGAGTGTTTAACTCTTTTGAAGTCAACATGGACTCGACTTGATCTGTTACCATTAGAATCAAGTTCTGTTTATGTTTGGTGTAGCTAATCAGTTGCCATAGTGATACAGATTTTCACCAGTATTAATGGCAGTTTGAAACATTAACAGAATTTCTGGTATGTGTGAATTATTTCATGCTTTTGTTTTCATTCTCTTTTTCATTACCAATTTTTGATAACATGGATTGTGCCCAAAATATTTTGAGCCTACGAGCTGATATGATGAATGCCCTGTTCCACTAAGTGATCTAAGCACTATGAGGATCCCATACTTTAACATTGGCTTATGACAGTCATAGCTCCATGATCACTTTGTGGAAAAGGGGAACAGAACATGTATCACAGAATCATATTCAGGATCGTTTAATCTGAGCTTGTAGATTATTAGCTAAGCAGAAATACAAATCTTGAGGGGAGTTGGGATCTTTGATGTTTTCCACCATATTAATCTAATCCTTAAGCCTGAAAGATTTAACAGGAGGTAATGACAAAGACCCCATGACTTTCTTGTATAATCATGAACACTTAATATATTTTACTAGGCTTGGAATAGTTCCAGATTGATGTGGTTGTTCAATGTGATCAAAGGCAGAATATTTTTTCATTTTTCAGACTGTTGAATATCACAAGACATTTCTCCCCCTGACCACTCAATGTATAATCAATACTGGAGTTAGGATAGTCTTTTATTTAGTAGTTACGTTATGAATTTGTTTTTTAAAATCTGTGGTTGTTAGTTGAATTAATGAAATTCAATTTCCAATATATTTTTGTGTTTGTAAGAAAATATATTTAAATTCTCAACAATTTGAGTTTTGGTTAAATAGCCACACACTACTTTTAGTACCAGTGAAGCTAGGAATAGAATATGACCAAGCAATAAGATACAGATGGCATTGAGCATGTACCATTGTTTTAGTGTAATCATAAGTGTGAATATCAGGCTTAAAACAATTCTTTAAACTGGGTTTGTGTTTTTTTATTTCACATTTCTGACTTTTGGGGATCCATAAACCAAGTAGTGAAAACTAAAACCCTTAATTTCTTCAGACATCAACTATAATGCTGGCCAAAGAAGTAGAACATTACAATATTGACAAACCATCACTTAACTCATTTCTCATAAATCACTGTGTAGGTCATTTGCCTGTAAGAAAGGTCTATTGTCAGCCCATTCTGGTGGTATTAGATGACCATATTTCCCCGTTTGGTGATAAACTGCTCTCCATGACCTTCTTATCAGCTCAAGTGGGTAGAGGGCCAGTAAATAACTTGCTTTGTATTGACCGTTGCAGCTTTGTTTAGTGGGGGCCATTTATCACCTGAAGGGGGCTATTAGTTCGGCCCTGTGTATATGGGGCACGGGCTGTCTGGAGACACAAGTGCAGGAAATAATTATACCTTTAGTGTTGGATATAGCAGGCTGAAATATGTTGGACAATTACCATATTTTCTTGAGTATAGTGCACACTTTTTTTCGAAAAAACACAGCTGTGTAGAAGGGGGTGCGCATTATACACGAATTATGAGTTTGGATGTTTTTTTCACCAATGGAAAGACATTACCGTGAGCACGAAACACCGGAAATACCATGTCAACAAATCCATACTGAAGTACGCAAAATAATCATGTAATTACACTGTCTGGCTATAAAAAGTGTTCTTTGTATATCTGGACTTATGTTTGTAACTTATTTCATTAATTTTATTCATAATTCCTTATTTTTCGGCGAAATCGTGTGTGAAGCGATCGGAAGATCGCACAACTCACCGTTATTAACAGCAACCACGGTCAGATTACCGCTATTGACGCCTTGAAACGAACTTTAGTTGACAGAGAATGGATACATATATCATAAATGACATACTTTGACTCGTTAAAAGTCATATTTGTTTTTGTTTGACGATTCTATGTCAACATGAAATTCTCGCGACCACGTGCGCGTGAGCCTTGACGGTGACTGGTCAGACTGGTTCCATGTAAAAAATAATACCTGGCAATAGCAATCAGCTGCTTCGCTTAGGGTTATTATTATTTTAAATATGTTTAGTAAAGGCTGCATATAATTAAGAAAATAATGGTATATATTATTCCTGATAAAAAAATAGTTTCAGATACAGTTGTTGCTGATCCTTGCATTAAAAATCCTATAAAGTTATATCATTGGGTGTGTCTTGACCAAATCACCGGTCGATTCCAAGAAAACGTGTGTACAGCTGATTGCTGTTTCCGGCTTAGTTTACGAGAAAATACACAAGGTAATCTTAATCCCTAGATATAAAACAATGCCTAGCAGAACAATAAATACTATTTAAACGGTAAATAAACATGTCTGGTGATTTTTTATCTCAAATTTCGAAATTTGTACTGACAAAGTTTCTCAGCACCCGTTCGTTTGCCGGACTTCGCTGAAAGGGTACGGTGTAAATTTTTTCTGCGCATAATATTCAAATTTCTTTTTTTCCAAAATATTGAACCCGCTAGAGGGGGGTGCGCATTATACATGGGTGCGCACTATACTCAAGAAAATACGGTATGTAGCTGGGTTTTTTTTGTTTGAGCCGATTCATATATTATTAGCTGAGCTTGCAGACCAAAGGCTTAAGTCAGAAATAGCACCGACTCCTTTCTATACTTACTAGACCAATTCTTTTCTTGTTTTAGGATAGTCCTTTAAATTTGTTCAGAGTTAGAGATAGAAAACAATTTGTTGTGTTTGACTGAAATATACTTATATGAACACATCTTTCGTCTTTATATTTGTTTAGTGTTTTTTAATGTTTCTGAAAATTTTGCCCCAAAACAATCTATTTTCCTAGATAATGTGTACAACTAGAGTACTATCTGGTTCTGTAACATACAACAGAAGACATTCTTAACTTCCACGTGTGTCAGTTTGAAGTTCTTCGCATTAGTGACATTTTACATACAATGTAAGGTTTGTTACTTTCAAGCCTATGTTTAATGTAATTGCTAGTACTGTGAAAAATATATTAATAGATATAGAGGATGTTTTTCTTTTATTGTCAAATAAGATGTTTATCTTATCGAGCCACCTCCACATTTTCATGAGTGGTGCGGTCATGTGTGAAAATGTCAACTTTGCATGTCATGACATGAGATAAAAATGATGACCGTGAAGATCTGGGTTTGAAAAGGCCTTCAGCAACCCATGCTTTCTGTAAGAGCTGACTATGCTTGTTGTAAGAGGCGACTAATGGGATCGGGTGGTCAGGCTCCTAGATATATATCATTGTATCCCAATTGCATGGATCAATGGGCATGATGTCAATCACTGGATTGTCTGGTCCAGAATCGATTAGTTACAGACCGCCGTCATATAGCTGGAATATTGCTGAGTGCGGCGTCAAACAACAAACAGACAGACAGACAGTG